CGATTCACAAGATGAGTGACAATCTTTGGTGCTGCGGAGTTCTGGAGTCAGTTTTGGAAAACTGGTTTCCTAGGTCAAGTTTGAGGTGAGTTCTTTTGGTTGGAAGCAGGGTTGTACAATATTTATCGTTTTTGTGTTTGTGGCATTTTCAGGTATGGGGGAAATGTGTAGGGTTCTATTGGGCGACCTCTAGGGGTCCCTGATAAAACCCCCCTGGGCTTGATCAGATAGATGGCGGGACGATCAAGCCCACAGTCAGGGACCGGTTTGGCCACCATGATGGAGGCTTGTTGGGAGTCCATTGTTTCTTAAGATGCCGGTTTGTGCGGTTCCCGGTTTTGTGGTGAAAGTAGAAAGTGAGGGATTAGGATTTTGTGGGATTTCAGGTTTGGTGATGTTTTTTTGGAGTTGTGTGTTTAAGCTGCTTTGCGGATTTTGGTTAGGTGGATTGGGGAGAAAGTTGTTGGCAGTTGTTGTGGATTTTGTGGGTATAAATTGACTGTTGGAGTTTTCCGTTGTGTGCATTTTGTTCAGTGGAGTTTGGGAGGTTGATGATGTTTGTTCTGGTGTTTTGCAGGAAAGGCAACTGTGTGCCCGCGACCCTGTAATGGGGGTGCATTGTAGGGGCAACCCTGTATTGGGGGTGCCAGTGATGTGTTTTGTTCAGCGGTTTCGGCAGTTTTTTTGTTATTGTAGTTTTGATTTGTGACCCTGTAATGGGGGTACTTTTTTAGTAATTTGTAACAACATGCTAACCTGTAATGGGGGTGCAGTGTTGGTTAGCGTATATTGGTGACCCTGTAATGGGGGTACCGGATTTTGTAATAGAGCGACCCTGTAATGGGGGTGCTTGATTTTGTAATAGAGCGACCCTGTAATGGGGGTGCTAGTGGCGGAAGCAGCAGTAATCAGTGATAGCAAATTAGGATTTGTTGATCAGCAGTAATTGTAGATGTTGAATGTTGCAGGTTCCAGGTTGTTTGAACAGCAGTAATTGCAGGTATTTCTTTATTTGATTCCCAGGTTGTGCGGATTTTTGTCTGTGGGGAGTAGGAATTTGTTGATCAGCAGTAATTGTAGATGTTGAATGTTGCAGGTTCCAGGTTGTTTGAACAGCAGTAATTGCAGGTATTTCTTTATTTGATTCCCAGGTTGTGCGGATTTTTGTCTGTGGGGAGTAGGAAGAGAAACGATGAGCAAATGGAAGGATTTGATTGAGCAAGGTATTTTGGAAGTCACAGTTTATTATTGATTCTTTTTTGACGCATGCTATTTTGTCACTTTTCCAGAGATGGCAGAGTTGGAGGATGATGGGCGGAGTACACCGTCAAGCGTGTTTAGCCTGCCATTGTTGCCGGTGGTGAAGAGGTTGGAGGCCGTGCCAGGGCTGTCTTCACCAAAGTTGGCTCGTCGTGTTGGAGCTGACGGGGTAGTGCAGTTTCCAGGAGCTGTGCGGGAACTTGCTGAAGCATTCTTGAGGTTTGACGCAGATTGCTGGGCTCAAATTCATACGTTGGTGCCGGTGGTTGATACCCAGGCTTGCACCGATGCCGTGCGAGCTGGGTTGGAGCAGTCACTGTCTGCAAACCAAAAGCGGGTTGAGGAGCTGAGGACTGACAACCAGCAAATGGAAAATGAGGCTGCAGGATTGGAGAGGCATTGTGCTGCTGTGGAGGAGCAGATGAAGCAGGATTGGGCGTTTCTGGAAAGTGCAGGGATGATGGCAACGGCGGCTACGGCTCAGGCCAGGGAGGCCTTTTCAACGGCGGTCGCTGCAAGTGTGGTGGCTTTGAAGACCTCAATTGGTGGGAAATTCCCCTTGTTGCTGCCAAACTTGGTGGTGACGTGCAAGGAAGAAGGTTATTGTTTCTTTTTGTCTTTGAAGGTTATTGTTTGGTTGTTGGTTGAGATGATAGAGTTGTATGTGTAGGATTGGTGAAAATCTATCGTGTCCATGGAGGCGATGGTGTGCAGATTGCTGTTGGTCCGGATTCTGACATGATGGAAGTATGGATGGACGAGGTGAAGGCGATGGCTGGTGGGAGATCGGTGCAGGAAATGAGAAGACAAGAGGGCGAGTCGCAGCAAGCATTATAGGTCGTTCTGGATGCAGTGATGGCTAGTCCCTTGATGGGGTGTGTTCCATGGCCGTCGGTGGTGTCGGCAGAAATGGAGTTCGAGGAAGATGATGAAGGGTCCTCAGTGTTTTTGTCCAGGAGCTCAAGGAGAACGATGTTGGATCTGTTTTTTGGAGGTTGGTTTGAAGTGTGTGTGAGGAGAAGTGGTTTGTACAGCATTTTTGTGTTGTGAAGGTGCCGTTTGAGATTGGGTATTCAAGCCTGAGGATAAGGCTGAGTATATCAAGGACGTATGCGTGCGCATGGGAATCACAGAGAGGAACTTTTGCCGTGTCCGTAGTATGCGGTTGTCTGTGCCAGGAACTGCAGTGCAGAGTGTGCAGTATATCAACAATTATTACGGGATCAGAGGTGAAAAACGGATGGGAGCTGACGGCAAAGAGAAGGTTTTGGTTTTCGGGACGTCATTGGTGGCTGTCTGGTTTCTGTGTGATCCAGATAAGGCGTTTCTGACAGGTGTTGCAGCGTTGGAGGACGTTCCACCAGCTTATGATTTTTGGCATTTGACAGAGGGGATGCCTTACAAGGTGTATCAGGTTGGTTGGAAAAAGGAAGGGTGTTAGATGTTGTCGATTGATGATTTTTGTGTTTGCAGTATGGTGTAAGCAGATTAGGCGCAGTTGTTGGATCTTTGAAAAGCCAGTGGACGCCGGAGGATGTGTGTTGTTGAGTGTACCGAGATTTTCGCCTGCACAACAACTTCCAATTTACGCAGCTGTGTGTTTGTGTGGGAACAAATGACATTAAGCATATGTATAACCTGAGGTCTGGGGCGAAATATGCAACAATGACGGAGTTGTACACTGCAATGAGGGTGTACTTTGCAAAGCTGGCAGAGGTTTTCAAGTGTCCGGTTTTTGCATTGGGCGCTTCTCCTCCAGGGAAGTGGGAAGGAGGCAGGACAAAATTTTTGCGGGATCGGTATGGGAATCCGGTGTTTCCTTTGATGGAGGAAGATGGATCTGCCGTGTCAATGGAGTCCAGATTGGAAGCGGCAAATATGTGTCAGAGGGTGTTGGCAAAAATGTTGGAAAATGATGTTGGTGGCGTTATCGGAAAGCATATACGTGCCCTGGATGGTGGGCTTTGCCTACTCTGTTGAGCTATCTGACGAGATACGTGAAGGTGTCATACTTGTCTTTTTCATCATTTGGGCATATCAATCCTCGTGCCTTTATCTGGTTTGCAAGGGATCATTCAGTGGCGATTTTGTTTGCTGTGACAATAACGGCGGGTGATCCTTTGAAGGAGACTTTGTTGTGTCCTGGACAAGGACCCATGTGGAAGGATGATGGGACGGCGGTGGAGGGCAAGCCGCCAAATTCAAACCACAGGCATTTTGTTTGTCAAAGTTATCGTCCGTGTCTTTTTGATGCTGTGGGAAAGGTGGNTTGATGCTGTGGGAAAGGTGGAGTTTGGGGGAAAGGGTATTAAGGCAAACCCATTTCATAAGTGAGTTTGAAGTTGTATTCTTTTGGAGATGGAGGTGTTGACAAAGTGTATTTTGCAGATGTGAGTTGCTGTTGGATGGTGGGTATGACAAGACCTTTGCTACAGATTCGGTGGTCTCCATTACTCGCCAGCGTGGGAAGGATGGTCAATTTGTTCCAGGAGATGTGGTGATAGTGAAGGCAACGGGTGTGGAAAAGGTGGTGGCTGATGTGCACCAGAAGTCATACTGGGTCGTTGGACTTGGTGGTCGACAGTTGGTGTTGGACAACAAAGTTCGGGATGCAAAAAGGGTGGTGTAGGAGTTGTCCGTTTGGTTGATGATCTTGGTTGTAATGCGTATTGCGGGTATCTGATGTGTGAAGATTGGGATAGGAGGTTGGGGGCGGTCGTTGGCATTTTGTTTGTTGAAAGGTTGGAGGGGGGATGTACGGGGTCGGTGATTAATACTTTGTTGACGCATTGAAATGATGAGTTTTGGTACTTTGCAATACGGGTGTTTGTTCATTTTGTTTATGGTTGGCAAAGAGAATCATTTGAAGCATTTTTGGTGTTGATCTTGTTGTTTGAGTTTGGAGTTTGGTCTGGAATTTCTAATGGAATACGATTTTGAATAGATTGGTTTTTTAGGATGTGAGGAGTGGATGTACAGTAAGCGCCGGCAACATCTATGTCACCGCGCGCACACCAATCTCTTCTTGGCGCGCTCTCGCGTCCTTGACCGTAATGGCGGCCAGCTAGCAGAAGCCAGCCAGCCAGCCAGAGCAGCTTCACTCTCTTGTGAGCTCTCAGACCGTGAACATCTCCTGTTCCAAAAAACTTGTCGAACTCCGTTCTCTTACTACGCGAATCGAAGTGTGTCTTAGTTACTACATATTTTGTGAAGATCCTAACTGTCTAAAAAGCAAGAATAAACCCCTCTGTATTCAAATCCCCCAGAGTTGTGTGTTCTCTTACTTTTTGTGACGACGCGGATCTCTCACTGTACCATCATGGTTGTAGTGGCAGGATGTTAGGACATCAACTGCTTGGATTTTTCTGTCTTGTTTGCTTCGGTGAACATGGACCATGCGGCATAACTTCTATTTGAGGCGGCCCATAGGTGTGTCTTTTTTGAATGCTTTTTGGTTTAAGAGGACAATTTGGCCTTCAAGAGGTTCTAGGTGTTCTAGATGTTTGGGTTGTTTTGTGGAGGGAAATTGGCAAAGCGTTGTGATATAACCGTCGTAAAATGTTTTCCATAGGTCTCGGATGATGGCAATACAAAATTGTGTTTGTCTGGTAATTGCAGGGGGGCATTGGACCTTCATTAAAACTTCTGTTTCAAAAAATTCATTTGTCAAAATAATTTTAATTTCCCACAAGCAAATGTCTCAGGAACACTCAAATGTCCTAAGGTCATGACAGTTCAACCTTGAGTTCAATAACCAAGAGAATTCTGTAACATGAATTACACATAACAAAACTAATCAAAGAAATATTTCTTGAGGAAAATGTCTACCAAGAGTCCATCAGGAGACAATTGAAATCTGAAATGGTGCATCATGCAAATAAGAACAAATTGTCAAGAGTGAAAATGAAGAGCTAGTCAAGGAGTTCAAACTTAAAATTAACTGACCAATTCAGTTCA